TGAACAGCCGAATTGCTGAACTGCAGTCAGCTGAAGTAGCCTGCAGTGCTGCATTTAACCACTGCGCCACCTCGGCTCCTCGGCTATAAAGCAGTATATAAGTCTAACTGCTATTGCTATTGTTTTTCCTGTTTGCTTCCAGCCAATTAAAATAAGGTGGATGGATTGCCTCTGCCTTCCTCACTGCCTGCCATCCAAACCACCTCTTTGGCAGTATTAATTACTTCGAATTCTTTTCCCAGAAGCAATTTAAAAGCCCTGCCATAATCCTTGGGCACAGCAGGGCCATTTCAGTAATACAGCTTGTTCTTTTGTTGTTCTTTTTAAAAAAATAAAGATTCTTTCTTCAGTTTTACATTCTTTGGCCTGTTTGTTTTTGCATCCATTACCAAAAAAAAGAAGAAGAGAGCATCCCTACAATCAAGTCCCACCCACCCCCTTCACTTACTCCATGTTCTGGTACACCTCCACAGAGATATTGAGCCCTTCTAACTCTTCCTTAAGGATCTGCAAGTTGGAATTGACGTAGCTGAGTTCCAGCAACACCTGTTGGCGTACTTTGGGGCTGGTCGACGCACTGCCAAAGGAAAAATAAAATAAAATAAAAATGTTTAGAGAACAATCATTTAATAATAGAATGAGCCTTACCATCATTTTCTCTATTTTTCAAATTATTTCCTTATATATATTTATATTCTTTTTATGACCCTGTAATCCCTTTTATCCAGATGGAGTTGGGGCAACTGAATGGAACTGAGCATTTACCAGCCGGACGCCCTTACTGACACCTATGTGGAGTTTGCAGCAGATATTTTATCTTGGCGCCTGGATAAGAAACATTCGTTGCTTCCTAGGATTGAACTCGCAACTTTCCAAGCGGAAGGCCTCTAGGCCATCATGCCGGTCAGACTATTTCCTTATAATATTTCCCTATGATTTCCCTTGCCTATTTTCTTTACCTTTCAGATTATTCCAGCACTGACATCTATAGATAGTCCTCAATTTAGTATTTGGCATTGAAAAAAGTGACTTATGTCCGTTTTTCACACCAACGACCATTGCAGTCTCCCCATAGTCCCGTATTCAAATTTCAGACACTTGGCAACTGACTCGTATTTATGACAGTTGCAGTGTCCTGATCATCTTTTGCAAACTTCCAACAAGCAAAATTAATGGGGAAGCCAGATTCACTTCACAGCTGTGTTACTAGGTTAACAGCTGAAGTTATTCACTTAACAACTGTTGCAAGAATGGTTGTAGAATGGGGCAAAATTCAGTTAACAACTGTCTTGCTTAGCCAGGGGAAATTTGGGGCTCAACTGTAATCATACATCGATGATTACTTTAAACTCAAGAAGAAGAATGTGGATAAAACCATCCCTTTGCATCAAAGGGCACATAGCATTGGGCTTGTTTTGAAAGGAAACCATATAGAACAGGGGTCTATTCTATTCTATTTATTAAATTTATAGGCCGCCCAATCCCGAAGGACTCCGGGCGGCTTACAGAAATAAAATTTTAGGAAAAAGGTAAAAAGACAAACATAAGAAAACAGATTA